TACAGATTAGATTGTACTTCGCGTATCCTAGGCGCTGCGGTTCATTACTAGCGTGTCGCGGTAGGCAGTTGGACTACACAGTACGTGGTAATGTCGTAGGTGCTGGATGGCTTACGGTAGAGAGTGGACCGTAACTGTAGCTCGTATTGATATGTATGTTTAGCATGGTGGCCACTACCGAAAAGCACTGTGTTTGTCGGTGCTGTTTGTTGAACGACTCCTGTTACTCATTCATACAGCAAGCAAGATTACTATGACTATGGGCCTCTCGTTCGAGACTTCCTCACATGATCGGAGGCGTTCTAGCACTCCACTACGACCCCGTGCAAAGGAGTACACAACCTCAGGAGCTGCCTCATGAGCCGTCTGGAGTCATCTTGAACAGGAGTCGTCTTGGACGGGAGTCATCTTGGACGGGGGTCATCTTGGAGACACGTTGGCCTCGGGAGCGCACAAGCTGCATGCGCTGCATCCGTCGCGTCCTCCTCTGCCCATAGCCATTTGGGCCCAAGCACAGAGGCTCCGAGGGTGCCACTTGGGTATGCCAAAGTGTGACTACTGCAAGTCGTCCTGTGGTTGGCACTCCTTCCCCGGCCTACAGCGCAAGTCGCTCGTCGTGAGCTGCCTCCCGTGTTGGTTCGACCCCGACCACGACTGGGAGCGGGACTACGCGGAAGACCCAGGGGCCGACTGGCCGTCCGACGAGGAGGACAACAACGGCCTAGGCCCCACGGGGTACGACTGGCAGGACGGCGGGGAGGGCGAGGACAGCAGCTCCGTCCAGGACACGGAGCTCGACAGCGAAGGGGAAGCGCAGGGCCCCCTGGAGGAGCCCGAGCCCGAGCCAGAGGCTTATGCAAAGAGGCCCCGCTTGGAGTGCTGGGGAAACTTCAGATGAGTGTGCCAGCACTGCGGCAAGGCTGGCCACAACCTCAGGAGCCGCCCGAGGATCGCCCAGCAGCTCCTCCGCAGCGTGCAGAAGGCCCACTCCCCCGGCGCCGTGGCCGACGCGCTCGAGGCAGGCGGCTCGGGCCTCAAAGTGACGGGGACACAGACGAAATTCATCCACCGCAAGACGCACAAGCTGCAGCGCAGGTTGGCGCACGAGGGCAGCCGCAGGGTCCACGCGGGCACGCCGCCCCCCCTGGGAGATACACGTGGAGCAAGAGAAGAGGAGGAGGAAGAGGAGGAGGAGGAAGAAGAGGAGGAGAGGAGGCGAACGGGGGAGGAGGGAGGAGGGAGGAGGGAGGAGGGGGAGGAGGAGGAGGAGCAGGAGGAGGAGGACTAAGAGGAAGGAAAAAGAGGAGGAACACCTCCTGACCTCCATCGCCGCGGACGGACGAGGCTCGGGGAAACTAGACACAAAAAACCTACAGTCGGGCACGGCGCGCCCGTGAAGGTCTCCACGGCCAGGAAGGCAGCGAAGGGGCGCAAGAGAGCGGCGAACGAGAGGCGCCGCTGCTCGACCAGAAGCACCAAGGACGAGGCAAAGCTGGCCTTGGCAGAAAAGCAGAGCATGGCCAAAGCGTGGAAGGCTCTGGCCAGGTGGCGTCTGGCCAAGGCGGGCGCGAAAGGTTACTACAGCAGCTACCCCTGCCCTAGGTGCACTGCAGGCTGTACCTGCACCGAGCTCGACGGCCACGGGCAGACAGGCGCGTGTGCGTGGGTATGGCACGCTCGATGTCAACACAGGTCTGATCGATGAGCGGTGGTCGCGAATCAAGGAGTGGATTCCGAGGGGAATCTGGGGAAGCGGCGGCGAGGCCAATATGAACGTGGAGCTCTGGAGTTACGTCTACCAGTGGTGGTTTCGATGCCATCATCCTTTAAAAGCGGACAGGCAGGCGCGCTTGGCCGAGTACTGGGGGCAGAAAGCGTGGGGCGCATAGGCCGTACGAGCAAAAAGAGCATGACGCTCTCGCGCCAGCAGAGGGGGAGGAGGACGAAGAGGATGCAGTAGACTAGGTGCACATCCTAGATTACATAGCACAGCATAGTACTGTCGGTGCACACATATTACACGTACGACATAGCACAGGAGTAGTAATAGGAGTAGTAGGTAGTAGTGCCTACATAGACATACAACATGGTACGCCATAGTAGTAGGAATAGTTGTTGCTGTTGTTCTAGTAGTAGTAGTAGTAGTAGTAGTAGTAGCAGTAGTAGTAGTAGTAATAGTAGTAGCAGTGGTAGTAGTAGCAGTCGTCGTAGTAGCGGTAGAAGTAGTAGTAGCAGCAGCAGCAGCAGTAGTAGTAGTAGTAGTAGCAGTAGTGAGTGTATACACACACGAAGCAGTATAGTATAGTAGCAGTACACCTACGACATGCACATACGCCACACAATACATGCGAAGTACCTAATACGTCACATAACTGCACGGACTGCATAGTAGTAGTACACATACTGTCCATACTACACACATACTACCCACACATGTACGGATGCACACATACACATATACACTAAACACATACACGTATACGTACACATGATACACGCATACCATATATGAGGCGCCAGGTGCAAGTACACCCGCAGTGATATATGTACATATATATATGTATATGAATACACACCTACATTCATATAACATAAGCATGTAGGTTTCTATGTACAAGTGCATATGGCCACGTCCTCATGTACGTAAGCACGTACGTATACATATACGAGTACCTAGGCAAATACACTTACAAAAAAAAATATAGATATCTGCACATGCACAGATACAGAAACAACTGCATATAACTGTACATTTACATAAACATACACATATACATAAATATATACCATGTACAGTTACCTGCATGCGCAGATGCACATACGGATATATATATACATATATATACGTGCATGTCCCCATAATCAGACATCGTCATACAACTGCATATCCACATACACGTAGACCTATGGGTCTACATGTACACACACATAAACGTATGAACATGCACCAACAATTACAAGTACGAGTACACTTACACATACATATTCAAAAATCATACGCCTAAACATATACAGGTACATAAATACATGAATGACATACAAATACACATGTACATACACATATACATGTACATACCCATGTAAATATACACACGTACACATATAAATACACATCAACATATGCATGTACATAGACATGTACGTGTACATGTACATAAACTGTTTCACATCCCTATGCGTATGTGCACATATAATTGTACCAATACAGATACATATACACATGCGCATGCAAAAACGTATACCATTATATGTAACCATGCACGTGCAGCTCTTCCTGCACACACAAACACTTACACGTATGCACATACGCAGACATGCAAATAAACAAATACGTATGCACATACTTGTACAACAACAGGTACACGTACAAATACAATTACACCTGTATGTACGCATTCATATGTATACAAATGTACATGACTATATGTACATATATATATATATGTATATATACAGTCGAATGCATATACACATACACATATACATACACATAGGCACGCAACTATGCATACATACATGTACATGTACGTGTACACGAACATGTGCATATACACTTACAGGTGTGTGTATATATGGAAATACACATATATACAAGTACGGATTCATATCCATATGCACAGACGTATATGTATACGCAGACATGCCTGTGTATATCGGCGAAAACACATGCATTTACATATGTATCTACATACACATATGCCTACACACGTGCATGAACGTATACGTAAACATGCATATATATACACATAGACAAATACATAGACATGCACACATACACACATATTTGTCTACATATCCATACACACTTACATGCACATAAACATAGAAGCACAGACTAACATGACTGCACACGTATACACATAGACACAATCACCTGCACACATCCGTAATCATATACATACATGTATGCGTACACATATGAACATTCACATGTGTATACACGTGCACGTAAACATGACAATATTCATATACACATTTACCTACGCATACACAAACACACAGATGCCCATATACACAAGTACATGTACACATACAAATACATGATCACAAACGCACACATACATACACGTACGTACACACACAGGGCACCTACACATAGTCACATACATGAAGATACACGTTCACGGAAATATACAGATGCATTCACTTATACATGAACATGTACATATACATATATACATATACACATACACATACACACATCCGGATGCATATGCATAAACAGATGCATACTCATACACAAATACCTGTACACTTACATATACGTATATGTGCACATGCACATAAACAAATAGATGCATATATAGATATACATATACGTACGCCTACATATGCATATGTACATCTACACGTATACGTATGCATAAATCTATACTGATACAGAAACACACATATGTATACTGGTATATGTATATACATATACATATATATGTATGTACATACATATATATATGTATGTTCATACAAAATGCATATACCTATAAATACTCACGCGGTGGATCTGTCCCCCTGGCCCCCAAGGCTGGCGTGCCAGGGGCCCCACCCGTTCCTGCGGGGCCACAATGTAGACGCTCGAGATTGGCCATGGGCACGATGCCCGACAGCGAATGCTGTCCAAAATCGCCAGCGGTCGCTGTCGGGCAGACGACTTCCTGTCTCAGACAGGCAACGTCGGCAGTGACGGCGGCAGCGAATCCTATTCAAAACGGACAAGAACTGCTGTCGGTCTTCGTCCCACCCATTTTTGTATCCATTTCTATCGTTCGGAGGTTGCTGAAGGTGCCTCTGACCCAAGATGCCCCCGGTTTTTCACTTAAGTTTGAAGTACCTGGGGCCTTCTGGGCCTCGTGATGGGTGCTCTGGACGACGTGGGAGCCTCCCTGGAAATCCTGGGGGCGCCTGGGGCCAGGGGCACTTCTAGCAAGACCCAAAATCGTACCCGCACACGTGCGCGCGCGAGACGCCAAAACGCTCGAGCGCGCGGGCGGCGGGATGAGTGCCGCAAGTTCGCTCATGCGGCTGAAGATGGCGTCCAGCTGCCGCTTGAGCGGCCACGCCTGCGCCCGCGGGGAGAGCGGCGAAACCAAAGATCCCTGAGACCCTGGCGTCGCGAATTTTCACAACGGGCGGTTTTGCCTTGCCTCGGCCCCTTGGACCATCACAGCTCGTTCCGGCCCCAAAAAACAACAGAATCATGGAGTCCGGGCTTCGGGTTTTCCGCGATGCTGCCTTTTTCGTTCGCGACGTTGGATCTCAAAGAAAATTAGATGCTGCCAAAGTGTCCCTGGCCCGGAGGTGGTCCAGCCCTCCGCGCCGCTCTGGAGCCCCTGGGGCACTCTGGGACTTGTCGAATTAGGATGTAACTCGTGGGAGGTCTTTCTAGGAACGATTGCGGACTGTCAAGCCAGAGCAAGGCATCTTTACGCCGAACTAACCTGGCTGTAGGCAAGACTACGTGGGATTGCACGGACTGCGGGGGGTGACGCGGAATTCGGAAAGATTCTGCCGCACGTCGCCCCTACGAAACTTGCCCATTTCGTGGCCCCACCCAAACGATGCAGAACGAAGGCCCTGATGGTGGGTAGGAACCATGACGCCATTGATGACAAGCGAGCAACACACACCCATACCCATAGGGGGGTCGTTGGGAGGAGGACCGGCTGTGGGTATGGGTGCGGGTTGTCGGACCCTGGGGAACGCTCCCGTTCGAGCGGGGACCCCCATCCGACAACACGCACCCATAGCCCTCTCCGATCCCCCTCTGGGTCTGGGTGTGCGTTGTTGGTTCGTCAATTGAGCGCCAGTGCTCGCGAGCGACAGGACGCCCCCAATGCGAATCTGCCATGAAGTCCTGGGCAGCTCGCCCCTTCGGCTCCGGACGGAGTGGGCTTCGACACCTGCCCAGGATCATGTCGGGCGTGTCCCCCTACAGGGGGATGTTCGACGGAAAAGAAATATACCCCAAAAATGCACCCAAAAGGTTTAAAAATAATATAAAAGAAGTCCCCATACGAATTTTTGATTATTTGTTGGCTATTTTTAGGGTTGTGTTTTGTTTTCGTCGACAATCCCCCTGTAGGGGGACAGGCCCGACTTAAGCTTAGGAGGAAGCACTGCGCGGAATCGCCATGTCGACTTCGAACCCGAAACTTCAACTGCCGTCGACGTGCTTTTTCTTCGAGGACATCTCACGCGGAACCGCACTTTCGACTCGGGCAACCCGTTTGCCACATCGAATTATAGAGTCGGCAACCCGAAAAATCGGAAGGGCGGTCCCCGTCTGGGAGTCTCTAGTACAAGTAAGAAAACCTGACGTCGACAAACTTCGGCCTGAAGTCGACGTGGCGATTCCGCCCAATACTTCTTCGAAGAAAAGTGTTCGACCGAAGTCGGGACTCCCTGGTCCGACATCCAAAGTGCGTGAAACTGCTTTCGCGGCACGAAGCAACGGGATACAGCCTGGCAACGTTGTGATGGGGCCCCGTCGCTGAATGGACCCATTTCAAAGTGTCCTCCGTTGACAACATTGAACGAGGGCCCGCCGCCGAACGGGGAGAGCTAAGTATTGGCCGAATGTTCGTAGCGGCGAAGTGGGATCCCATGCGAGTTATGGTCGCACTGCATTCACTGCTGCGCACTTGACAAGCCCGCTCAGCGGCTGACAGCAGGGCCCGCGTAAACCAGAGCAAAAGTGCATGTCAGCCGTGCCCACGTCAAACATGCGGGCCCAGCGGGATATCAGGCAGGCTACGGTCGCGCTGCAAGCAATGCTGCGCACTTGGCAACCACGCTCGGCGACTGACAGTACGGGCCACTGAAACCGAAGCGAAAATCCATGTCAGCCGTGCGGGCCCAATGGGATATCAATCGAGTTATGGTCGCACTGCAAACAGCGCCGCGCTCTTGGCAACCGCGCTCGGCGGCTGACAGTGGGTCCCGCTGAAACCGAATCAAAAGCTTATGTCAGTCATACGTGCCAGGCGGGATATCAGGCGAATTGTGGTCGCGTTGCAGGAAGTGCTGCACATTTGACAACCGCGTTCAGCGGCTGACAGCATGGGCCACTGAAACAGAAGCAACAAATCCATGACAACCATCTGGGTACATCGCCGCTACGAAAGTGTTGACCCATTCCAAGGCTCAGCTAAGACAATCAAGAACGAAGGCTCCGATGGCAGATAGGGGCAATCACACCATTGAGCGCCAGAGCCTGCGAACTGCAAGACGCCCCCATTTCGAATTTGGAGGAAATCCTGGGCGGATGAGCGGAATGGGTTTCGAAGTTTCGACTTCTGTTTTGGAGGAAATGTTTCCGCCATGTCGATAGGGCACACCCCGGGCGACTGAGACCGAGACTGACCACGTGGAGCGGTAGCCCTCTCGTCCAAAGACGCAGCAGCGAGCTCACCACTCCTCCTCGGAAGGGAGCTTCTCGTGGTGAGAGGCCTCGAGCTTCCACCCACGGGCATTACCGAACCTCAAGCCTCCAAGCTGAAGAGT